TCACATACAAAAGAATGAATTGGGACCTCTACCTCATACCATATACGAAAAGCAACGCAAAACAATCAATGTAAGGGCTAAACCTATAAAACATTTAGAAAAAAACAGGTGTGAGGGCGCCTGGGTGGCTCAGTTGGTTAAGAGACTGCCTTTGGCTCAGGTCATGATCCTGGAGTCCCAGGATCGAGTCCCACATCAGGCTCCCTGCTCGGCAGGGAGTCTGCTTCTCCCTCTGACCCTCTTCCCTCTCGTGCTCTCTATCTCTCATTCTCTCTCTCTCAAATAAATAAAATCTTTAAAAAAATAATAATAAATTAAAAAAAAGAAAAAAACAGGTATGAATCAGTAACTAATAATAACAGATCCTATTTATTGAGCATTATCCACTTTCAAAGTGATGCAGCCCACTTCACCCTTTCTCACCATATCTGTTTCCTGTACACCATATATAAGCCCTAAGCCTATCTTAAAGATTTTATTTATTTATTTATTTGAGAGAGAGAATGAGAGCGAGCGAGCATGAGAGGGAGGAGGGTCAGAGGGAGAAGCAGACTCCCTGCTGAGCAGGGAGCCTGATGTGGGACTCGATCCCGGGACTCCAGGATCATGACCTGAGCCGAAGGCAGTCGCTTAACCAACTGAGCCACCCAGGCGCCCCCTAAGCCTATCTTAAAACAATGGTTTAAGTGAGTAAAAAATAGCTTCAAATACTTCTTTTTTTAAGAGAATTTTTTAAGATTTTATTTATTTGACAGAGAGAGAGATAGTGAGAGCAGGAACACAAGCAGAGGGAGCGGGAGAGGGAGAAGCAGGCTTCCCGCCAAGCAGGGAGCCAGATGTGGGGCTCAATCCCAGGACCCTGGGATCATGACCTGAGCTGAAGGCAGACGTTTAACGACTGAGCCACCCAGGCGCCCCTCAAATATTTACTTCTAAATTTAAAGTCGTACCTATGAAAATTCCTATATTATTTCTCCGCTTTTTACAGTTTCTTTTTCGGGTCATCAAAGTTGGACATGAAATAGTGAGTGAGTGATAAGGTACATATAATACATTAGTCATTCATTTTTTTAATATCAAAACGCTATTTCTTTTTTTTTTTTAAGATTTTTTATTTATTTGAGAGAGAGAGCATGAGAGAGATAGAGAGCATGAGAGGGAAGAGGGTCAGAGGGAGAAGCAGACTCCCCGCTGAGCAGGGAGCCCAATGTGGGACTCGATCCCAGGACTCCGGGATCATCACCCGAGCCGAAGGCAGTCGCCCAACCAACTGAGCCACCCAGGCGCCCCTCAAAACGCTATTTCAAACATACCTATAGCGAAGCCTTTCTACTGGAATCAGGACGTGTCATAGAGGATGAATGTATTTAAATTGCAAGGCTGGCTATTTTGAGATAATAAATAATAGTCAACAAATAGCCTTCCCTATTCTGAAACTGTAAAATGGATGTTCTGAAGCTGCTACAGCAGGGGTTAAGTGGTGGTTTCTGTGATTAGTCCATTAACTATTTGCAAGTTTGCATGAATCAGCATTTTCCTAGGGAAAGGATCTACTGCTCTCTTCAGATGCTCCCATGGACAGAACATTACAGATGCCCAATTAATATTTGTTGGAAGAATAAATGAAGGGGGATCCACAGCAGGTAAGAGTCAGTAAACTCCCCAAAACTGCTTCTTTCATTCCATCTTTCATCACCTTCCAACTCCAGAATGAATCCAGAAGTGTCTTAAGCTTTCTGCTACAACAGCTTCCTCTATTTTTGTGAACAATTATAATTTTACATGATGTAACAAAGGGTCTTACCAAGATTGGGGAATCCATCCTGAAGGGCCCATAACCGAGCCCAAGGGGCAGGGACAGGCTCCTCGGGTTCCTGGTCCTCAGGAATAGAACAGAGTTCCTGGGTGGACACTGTGTCTAAGGAGTTCAGCGTCCCCGAGCTGGAGTGAGAGGACTGGCTGGACGTGGGTGCTGTGCTGGTGGAGCTGGACGTGACTGGAGAGTGTGAGGAGGAGCTGTGTGTCTGGGAGCAGGTGCCTTGAGACTGCGAGAAGCCACCTTGAGACTGGGTACAGGAGCCACTGCCATGGGACTGCTGACGCTCCCCATCCGTCTCTCGAGACATCGTGACCTCAAAAATAAGGGTCCAATAATAAGGTTATGTTTCAAGAAACAAGACTTGTAAGACTTGAAGTTTAAGGGTGAAGAATGGGCAGGGGTGCCTGGGTGGCTCAGTTGGTTAAGCGTCCGACTCTTGATTTCAGCTCGGGTCATGATCTCAGGGTCATTAAGATGAGGCCTGTGGTGTCCAGGATCTGCACTAGGTGTGGAGCCTGCTTAAGATTCTCTCTCTCCCTCTCCCTCTGTCCCTTCACTCCACCCACCTCCCCCCAACTCCTCCCCCCACCCTCGCACGAGGGCAATCTCTCTCTCCTAAAAAATAAAAATAAAAAAGTAAAGGATAAGCATATTTACATCAGGAAAACAGAAAAATCCAGAGCAAGCATGTTCTGCAAAAGTTAAAATTCTAAGTCTAGATTGATCTATGGTTCCTCTGGGCTGAGTTTTTCATCATATCACTTTCACCGGATCAGTTTTTTGTATGACAGCCACAAACCACAGGAAAAAGAAAGAAAAAAATTATACAAAGGTCATAAATAAGTTAAAAGAAATGAACTAATCTGGGTGTGGGAAAGAAGACTTCATAACAGCTTACATTCATCTAATTTTTTAAAAATTAGAAATGTGGGGCTCCTGGGTGGCTTGGTTGGTTAAGCACCTGCCTTCAGCTTGGGTCATGATCCCGGGGTTCTGGGACTGAGCCCCATGTTGAGCTCCCTGCTCCGTGGGGAGTCTGCTTCTCCCTCTCCCTCTGCCTGCTGCTCCCCCTGCTTGTGCTCGCTCGTGCTATCAAATAAATACATAAATAAAATAAAATAAAACTTAGAAATGAGGGGTGCCTGGGTGACTAGGTCAGTTAAGCGTCTGCCTTCGGCTCAGCACTCTCCCTCTGTTGCTCCCCGTTTGCTCTCTCTCTGTCAAATACAGAAATAAATAAAATCTTAAAAAAAATAAAAATTAGAAATGAAACTTAAAAGGTATTCATTAATACAATCAACACTACACTTAAATTTCATGTTTTAGAAGAAAGGGGAAGGGTCATGTGGCTTGGGATAGAAGATGGGCAAGAAACTATAAACTAATTCACTGCACCACACCAGGGGTGACCATTTACATAAAATGTCAGAGATACTCCTCCTCCCCCAAGCCTGCCCCAGGACGGTGAAGACCACATCCTGTTTGTTCACTCTAGATTCCCTGACTCCTAACTAAGGGCCAGGCTATTAATGAAGCAGAACACAAAGAAGACTACTCTAAACAACTCCACCTAGCCCTTTGTGATGCTGAGTAACTATAAGGGCTCACCTTTCATCCTAAATGGCCCTCCAGCCCAACAGAATCCTACAGAAACAACTGAGTCACAGGAGACCATAACAGGTTCCCACCCTCACTTTATAGAGTTAATTTGATGGACAGTTAAACTCTGACAACAGAAACTACAGTAAAGTCAAAGTAACTGTCAATCCCTAACTTTAAATCCCTAACATAATTTTTTATAAGAGGGGGGAAGGGAGTGCATTCTCCCTTCTCTCCAGATACACATACTCAGGCTCTTCCTCCAGGAGAACACAGTAAACCTTACTCACACTGACTGTATTTATATAGCTTTCCAGATACAAAGATCCTGATGACTTTTTCTTAAACCACACCAGGGAGGTGATGCCGGAGCTGTGTGCCACTCCAGGACCTGCAGCTCTAATACTAACTACTACCTTAGTCAAGGCTGCAACCTCTAATAGCTTTCTGAGCAACACTTCTCCACCTTGACAATGGACAAAAGACTGTCAAGAAGTGGCTGCTATCCTCGTTTATTGTTAAGGGTCCAGCAAACTGAAACCACATCAGCCTCAACCACGAGGAGGAGAAAGTATATGGAAAGATTAGAGGCAGTCCAAACCACAATTTTAGGGCAAACAAGTGTGGAGTCAGATGCCTGAGTCAAATCTTTGCATGACCTTCAGGCAGACCACCACTTCATTAAATAGATCTTGAGGATTAAATGAGATGATACATGAACGTTCCTCCCCCAGTAATGCTTGATAATTGGGAGAACAGAATTCCAGTCCCAAAGAATCCGACAGCCGGAAAGGGTTTTACAAGTGAAACACAATTTTTTTTTTCAAACAGAGAACCTGAGTCCCCAGGTGGACTGGTGCCCTCCTACCCTCTCCTCGCCACCCACCCCACACACTTACTAATGGACACTCGCAGGGCATCCTCCTACACAGGTCAGTGTGTCTCCAGTTTCTGCAGCACCTAGCTGCTAAAATTGGTTCTCAATAGGTTTTTTTAAGAAATTGAATCTAAAATATGGTAATAATTACTAACATTCATTAACTATTTACAAACCAACTTCCCTCTGATTTTGAAGAACACAATTTTGTCCTTTCTTACCCTCCACGTCTGGGCCAGTTTCAGCTTGTAAGTAACAGGGGAAGTGAACTTCACCTCGAAGTTCATCTACACAGGAAGACAGTCACCCACGCACTCCTCTCCTCCCCCCGACCGAGGTTAAAAACCACACAAAGTGAAAATTCGGGAGATTCCGCGCGCACTAAGACCCTGGGGACAGGAATCGAACCCCCAAACACCCAAGAGAAGTTCTCCACTATGACTCACCGCGTGCGCCCACCTGGAGCCAAACGCTCACAGCGGCCGCAGCCAGCGGAGTGGCGCTAACCAAGCACATACAAACTCCACCCTCAGCCAATTAAAACACCCCTGCGTCGCCGCCGGACCAATGAAGAGCGGCGGATGTGGCCGTCCACACGTACCTCAATGTTTGCTGGGAGTTGTAGTTTAAAATAAGGAGCGGGACACTCAGAATCCAGGATCCCGCCCGGTCAGCTCTCCAGCCAATCAGCAGCACTAGTCTGGTCGGCCGCTCTCTCCGGGTTTCCCCCCGACCGGTGACCGCGGCGAGATAGGCTGCGGCCAGATGTGGGGCGGGAGAACGGGTGCCTTGCTCCGGGTGTGGGGGCTGTGGCCGGCAGGGATCCTCGGAAGGAGACCGCTAAGCTGCAATGCTGCGTCTCTGGCGGGAAGCAATTCCCCCCAGTGTTGGAACTGCGGCGGCCCAGGGGGCCCCATGCGGGGGCACGAGTTCTTCTGCCCACAGTGCCGCGCGCTGCAGCCACCTGACCCCACTCGAGATTACTTCAGCCTCATGGACTGGTACGGGAGGCGGTTTCGGGAAACACGCGGCGGCGAGAGAAACGTCAGAGGCTCAGGAGATAGGGGGTAGGGCCGCTAGTGTTTGGGTAGGAGAAGGAGGCACCGGTTAGATCAGTGGGCGGAGCCGTAGAGAAATAGGGGTGGGGCTTGGGAGCACGGAGGGTGGGATTGCGGCCAGTGAGAGAGGAAATTGAGGGGTGAGCCTGAAGACAGGGCCTCTGAGGAATGGAGACGAGAAAGGTGGGGGGACTGGAGGGGCGGGGAAGGAACTTAGGGGAAATTGAAGGCGGGAGTCTTCTGTAGAGGGAGACCTGAGGGGTGGGACCTGAGAGAAGTTGAGGGGCGGGGCCTGAGGGAAGTGTACTGGAGGGGCTGCAGAAAGACTTGAGGATAGGATCAGAATGGTTAAAGTTGGGTTGAGACTTTTAAGAAAGGCGTACTGAGGTATTACCCAAAATAAGGGAGTGAAGGAGCTTCCCGGCTTGTGAACACGTGGAGATGGGAGAGTAGTGCTCCTGGAGAGCGCTTGGAAGCTCCCCAGCCCTTTCCCCCAGGCTTGTTTTCCATGTGGTTGTTCCTGAGTTACATCCTTTTATAATAAAATAAATCTAGAAAGAAAAACAAAATAGGGTGTAAAAGCACCGGAAAACTTAATATTGTGGTCTGAGTCTAAGGGAAAAATAAGAACTGGAGGGAGAGAGTCAGAAAAGTGGTTGTTTTTCCTGTTTTCCTCCGAACGTGGAGCTTGGAGAGGTGATGAAATTTGGGCAGAGCTAAACTGTTAAGACAGGGCAGTCTCCAGGAACGTAAAGTGAAAGGAACTGAGTTAAAATAAAGTGAGAGACAAAGATGAAAGGACCTGGGGCCTTCGAAAGATAGAGTGGGATTCAGGAATGGTCCTTCCCCTTAACTCTGAGATGGGCCCCTACCAGTCACTCTGCACTTAGGATGTGCTGCAGTGACACTATCCTTTAAGTTCTGAAAGCATGCCAAACTTGCTTGCACCTCAGGGCCTTTGCATGTTCCCTCTGCCTCTTGGTGACTTTTTTCTCTCATCTTTGATTATTTTTCATCATCATTCAGGTCTCAGCTCAAATATCATCTCTTTGTCCACCACACCACATGTACCACTTTCCCTGACCCTGTTCTCTTTTCCTTCACAGCACTTTTTGAAGTTACCTCTCTCTACGTGTATATTGCCTTTACCCCCATGAGAACAGGAACCAGGCCTGAAGTATACAAATCTATAAATATTTGGTGCATGAATTTTATCTCCCAATTTCCTTACAGCAACCGTGCCTTCAGAGTTGACACAGCAAAGCTCCACACTAGGTACCAGGAACTACAGCGTCTTGTCCACCCTGATTTCTTCAGCCAGAGGTCTCAGGTAGCCTGTTGGCCACCCCTAATCATACCCAAACATTAGTGTACATGGGGTGGGTGGCAGTGGCCTTGTGGTGATGTGGTTATCAGAGATAGAGCTAAACAACCAGCTCCACCCTAGGGCAGCCTGACCCCAGCTGGCAGACCCTGAACCTGCCCTGCACTCACAGCTTTTACCTGACTTCCCAGAAGAATTAGAATCCATTCGTGAAAATAAAGACATCTCATCCCACACCACTTCTACTTGGGAGACTTCCTTACTTGTCTGCCCATCAGTATTTTATGAAACAGTTTGTGAATGTAATGTGGCTGATTTGGATGGTAATGAGATTATCTTCATCTCCACTAACAGACTGAAAAGGACTTCTCGGAGAAGCATTCAACCCTGGTGAATGATGCCTATAAGACCCTTCTGGCTCCCCTGAGCAGGGGACTATACCTTGTAAGGTGATTTCCCAACCCTTCTATGCGTGACTACATGCTATTCATTGGGCTATGGGACAGCTGCTCCCCTGTATTCACCAGAAGAGTGCTTGAGACCTGAACTAGTCTAGGGACCCAAAGATAATTTGCTTCAATGATACCGCATGAGAATAGTTTTCTCTGAGTATTTGTAAATCTTACTTGCCTGAGTGCATTACTTTTTTACCGTTTGGTAGCATTTAGGGAAGTATTTTGGGGGTTTTGGTGGGGGAGGGAAGAGTTTAGCACCTTAGAATTTTAGGATTTAATAGAGCCTTTACAAATATCTAGTTCAGTCTCCCAAGTGGAAGAACAACTCCCCTCGGGTCACACAGTTCCAGGTAGCAGAGAGGAATCCTGTCCCAGCCCTCCTGTCTCTGTCCAACTTTCCCATACCCTGCCCCCACATTTTCACTATTAAGACAGTTCAAGGGGGGCGCCTGGGTGGCTCAGTTGTTAAGCGTCTGCCTTCGGCTCAGGTCACGATCCCAGGGTCCTGGGATCGAGTCCCGCATCGGGCTCCCTGCTCCTTGGGAGCCTGCTTCTCCCTCTGCTTCTCTCTCTCTCTCTCTCTCTCTCCGTCTCATGAATAAATAAATAAAATCTTTAAAAAAAAAAAAAAAGACAGTTCAAGGTTTGTTTGTTTGTTTGTTTGTTTATGAAGCATATTCTGTTCTATTCTGTGAGTAGGATTTATGACTCTGGCCACAGTCTCTCCAACCAACCTTACTTTTTTCTGCTTTATGTCCCAATAGCTAAAGCTCCATGGAGTAGAGATTCCTGAAGGGACAGATGATGAAATGGACAGGCAATTCCTCATGGAAATAATGGAAATGAATGAAAAACTTGCAGAAGCTCAAAGTGAAGCTGCCATGAAAGAGATTGAATCTATCGTCAGAGGTAAAAGATAAAATACCACTGAACGCATTTTATTGCTGTTACGAGTACATGTCCAAGGTTAGGTGGTTAGTGAATGAATATATAGACTGACTGAATATAAATGAATATATGAATATAAAGACTACATCTAGGTCATCATAATGATTCAGGGAGTATTTTTTTTTCTTGGTTATACTGAAACCAATTTTGTCTGGAGGTTAAACTTGCAACATCTCTAGCTTTCCGGAAGGCAGCCTTAAACCAAGAATGTAATAATATTTTGCAGATTGCACTCCTCCTTCCTACCCATGACATCATTAGATGTTATTACCGTCTCTGACAAGAATAATTAGGCCTTAGAAGTTCATGGAAATGCCCAAGGTCACATTGCAGAGCAAAGACTGAAAAACTGACTTCTAATCGCATATTACTTTGTTTTCCACTTTATTTCACACTGTATCAGGCAGGGTTCTCCAGAGAAACAGAACCAATAGTATATATGTATATATGGAGAGAGAGAGAGAGAGAGAGAGAGGAACCTATTTTAAGGAATTGGCTCACAGAATTGTGAGGGCTGACAAGTCCAAAATATGTCGGGCAGACCAGGAGGCTGGAAACTCAAGCAGGACTTCTATGCCTACATTATCCAAGCTAATCTTTACTTAAAGTCAACTGGTTGTAAATCACATCTACAAAATACCTTCACAGCAATATCTAGACTAGCGTTTGACCAAACATTTGGGCACCATAGCCCAACCAAGCTGACACATAAAATTAACCATGCCATGTAGAAGAAGGTCCAAGTTCTCACTCCAATTGTATGCACATATGTACTTTCACAAATATTTGTGGCATGCCTGCTGTGTATCAAGCGTTGTGCAAGACACCAGTGAACGAGAAAGACCCATGTCTTCATGGAGTTTATATATTCCAACTCAGTATGTCCAAAATGGAATTCATGAGCCTCTCCCCTCCCTCCTTAAAAAAAAAAAACCAACCTATTCCTCTGCTGATGTTCCCTAAGTGAAAGACACCATCCGGTTGCACAAGTCCAAAACACTGAGGAGGCGTTCTTAATAACTTATCCTCCTTACCCCCATAGATAGTCATCACCAAATCTTGAAATGCTGACCTTCTAAATATGTCCCAAATCTGTCTTCACTGCCAGCACCCTGTTCCAAACTACCATTCTTTCTCACCTGGACAACTGCAGTAGCTCCAGACTGGTCTAGCTATACTTCAATCGAATATATTCCTATACTGTCACTTATGAGATCTTTTGAAACCCAAATCTAATCATATTACCCTGGATTTTGCTTTAAAACTTTATGTGGCTTCCCACTGCTCTCAGGTTAAAGACCAAAGTCTTTAGTAAAGCATACAAGGCCCTGTATGGTCTGACCTCTGCTTCCTCCCATGTGCCCCTCCACTCTAGCCACACAGGACATTTCTAGTTCTTCATCTGTACCAGGCACCTTTCTACCCTGGGGCCTTTGCACATGCTATTCTGCTTAAAACCCTCTTCTCCTCCTTCCTCTAGTGAACTCTTCCTCTTCCAGATCTGGGGGCAATCATCACTTCCTCAGAGAACCTCTTTATCTGTACCTTTTGGCAGTGGATACCTCTCCCTTATAGGACTAATCACAGTTATAACCTTACTGTTCTACATGAGATTATTTGACCAATGTCAGCCTCTCTCCCTCCTTAGAGTAGAAGTTCTGCAGAGGCAGAAATTGTTTCTGCTTTTTGGTCCCCTCATATCCTCAGCCCAGGTACATGATGTATATAACATGGGCTCAGTAAATATTAATTGAGTGAATAAATAATGAAAAAAGAAGCTAAAATCAATAAAATGGCGGGGGGAGTCTATCAGTTAAGGATGTATCAACAGCCTTTTGGCTGGGTGGTGTTGGAAGACCTCAAGGCTTACAGTCAGAAACCCCCTCTGTACAGTTTTGGAAGGCAGAGGAACATGACGCTCTGTTGTGAGGGGGTCTTGGGTGCAGTGTCAACACTGCCATTGACTTTACATGTGACCTTGAACAAGCAGTTTCACCCCTCTGAGCCTCAGTTTCCTCATCTGTAAAATGGAGATAACATTAGTGCTGGTTGTTGCAAGGATTAAATTAAATCAAATAAAACATGTAAAACACATAACACAGTGCCTGGCCCATAGCAAGGTGCTCAGTCACTGGTGGGGGTTATTCTAGCCCTATAGTGAATGTCTGGTTTCAAACAGGTCACTGACCTTCATTTAGATTAATTCCTAAGTTTCCTCCCCTACGAGCATGTGCTAAGGCCCAAAGTAAGCAAATATTCAAGGGCATAGAGCTAGTTAGATCTGGGCAGAACTTCTGAGCCCCTAGACTCCTAGTCCAGTGTTCTTTTGTCAACACCACGTTGCTAGTTTCCCACAGCTGTCTAGGAGTCTGGAGACTTGGAGTCTGCTCCCAGCTCCTCCACTCAACCAACGATATGACTAGGGCCATCTCCCAATACCTGTAACCGCCTATGAAAGAGATATAACATATTTGAAAGTGCTTTGAAAGCAGGCGCCATATAAGCGATTGATACTTTCTATATCTGGAAAACGCACTTATAGTAAAATTCTACATTTCCTAATGAGGACACGGTAGAAGCACCAGGTGGCTGAAACACCAGGTGGCTGCTCCTTTACCTTATCTGGCATCTTCTCTCTTATGGTACAATATGATCTAAGTGTTTCATTTTCCTGGGAGGCTGTATAATTTGCAAGTGGTTGTTTGAAACACTGTCATGCCCTGCCCATAGGCAATCCCAGTTTGCTAATTTTCTCCTACCTGAAATCTGGAAAATTCAGACTACTTGGTGGAGACAATCAAAGCATTTCCTTGTCCTGTCTTTTTTTTTTTTTTTTTTAATGATTGTATAGCCATTTTACAAGCCTTAGCGATTGCCCCTCAGGCCTTTCAGAGGTAGAAAAACATAATGTGAGTAGGGTCAGCTACACTAAACAGGAGCTCCTGGGGAGCCTGGGTGGCTCAGTTGGTTGAATGTCCGACTCTTGGTTTCAGCTCAGGTCATGATCTCAGGGTTGTGGGATTGAGCCTCGATTAGGGCTCTGCACTTAGTGGGGAGTCTGCTTGAGATTCTGTCTCTCACCCTCTGCCCCTTCTCCGCACACATGCGTGCACCCTCTCTTTCTCTCTCTCTCTCAAATAAAGATAAATAAATCTAAAACAAAACAAAACACAGGAGCTGCCATCATGGGGCATGTGGACACAGGGCTTATGAGGCCTTACCCTGGAATCTAAGCTCCCTGTCATACTGTGTTGAAACCAGCTACCAAGTGTTATCTTCACATCGTTAGTCTATATAAATAGAAAAATTAAGATAGTGATTTTCTCTTTCAGCTAAACAGAAAGAATTGACTGACAGTGTGAGCAGAGCTTTTGAACAAGGTACTTTCTTCATGTCTTAAGTTTCTTAAATGTGGAAAGAAACTGTAAGCACAGTTCAATTCAATAAATAGCTATTTTATACCCATCCTATGATAAGTACATGGGGAGCTATAAAATATAGGCAAGTGGACATTTCTCCCTTCAAGGATTCACAGCCTTGCTAGAGAAATAAGCTGTGTGCCAAAAACTGATATGCCAGTGAAAGAGTAGATGAAAGTGCTTCTGTTCCTCTTCAGCAAGTAGGAGAAGTTAAGGTACAGGATGTAGGCTGAAGCCAACACAGGCAGATCCTGAGGGCAAGGCTGCACAGTCGACATTTGGCAAAGCCTGCACACCCCTTTCCTCTGCAAAGCCCAGAAGGAGAAGCCCACAGCAGAGCTGTGCCCAAATTTCAAAATAGGAATGTTCATCCTAGTCCCCATTGCTCCTGGCTTTCAGTTCAAAGAGATTCCGTCTGTTTCTGGCTATTTTGAAGTAAAAACAGTCTTTCTCTCCATCCCAGACTTGTGCCACCCCTTAAATAAAGGAATAATGGCCCTTTGGCTGAAGGATCCTTTGACTGCAGGAAGCCGAAGGCCACTCAAGTTAGCCCAGATAAAAAAGGGTTATTATAAGGAATTAGGACTATGTGCCCAAATCCAAAGAGAAAGTCCCTGTGATGATTATAGTATACAGTGTTATATGAGCTCTTCTGGGGCAAAGCCTGGGAACCAGAAAGCAGTCTGAAACCAAAACTGCAGTCCTGGACTGGATGCCTCTGGCAGTTTCATTGCATCCTCTTCTCACTATAAACCAGTTCCATTCTCGTCCTCATTAGCATACAGTGCTCCACAATGGCCTTCCCCACTGGTGACTCCTTAGTTCGCCTAGGTCCATTACCTTATAAGAGCAAGGACTTTGACCATCTGACTAGAGTCCCCAAGACCCAACTCTAGATTCCCGAGAGGGGGGATTTGGTTGGCCCAGCTTGAACCAGATGTCCACTGAAGTCCAGTCAGCTAGTGCTGAGGGGACAGGCTTATACAGTGTGCCATCCAGTTTGCAAGGACTGTAGAAGTCTATTCTGACACACAGGCAGAGGAAGGGTTTCTAAAAATATGTTAGGGAAATACAGGTTAACAGCCTGATATGGCTGCCTGAAATCCATGAACCCAACCCACTGACTATTCAGGTGTTCCACCAGGGCTCACCCCCATCTCCTACTGCACTTTTGTAGATTTTTTTTTTCATAGATTTTAAGAAGAATAAATAATATTTAAGTACAATTTAAGGAATAAAAACAGAAGAAACACCCATGTCCCCACCACCCAGCTTAAGAAATAGAACATGCAAAGAAGATATACAAATAGTCAATAACTATGGAAAGATGTGCAACATCACTAATCATTAGGCAAATGAAAATCAAAACCACGAGATACTGATTAAGATGGCTAGTATTAGAAAACTCAGAAAATAACAAGTATTGGTGAGGGTCTGGAGAAGTTGAAACCATTGTGCACTGTTGGCGGGGATGTAAAATAGTGCAGCCACTATGGAAAACATTATGGTATTTCCTCAAGGAATTAAAAATAGGATCACCGTAAGATCTAGCAATTCCACTTCTAAGAATATACCTGAAGAATTGACAGCAGGGACTCTGAAGAGATGCTTGTACGCTGTCAAAGGTAAAGCCAGATACTACTTAAAGTGGTAAGGATAGATTTTAATCAGTAATAACTATTGCAATAGGGAAGAGTCTGGTGTGAACTGAACTCCCGATTGATACAAAGGTTACTGGGCGTTTTAAAGAAAGAATGAAGGGCACCTGGGTGGCTCAGTTGGTTAAGCATCTGCCTTCAGCTCAGGTCATGATCCCAGGGTTCTGTGATTGAGCTCGGCATTGGGCTCCCTGCTCACTGGAGAGTCTGCTCCTCCCTCTCCCTTCCGCCCCACCCCACCCCCGCCCCCCCGCTCATGGTCTCTCTCTCTCTCCCTCTCTCTCTTAAATAAATAAATAAAATCTTTAAAAAAAAAAAAAGGGAGAATGAGGGAGTAGGGAGGAGAATGAGCATGGTCTCAGGAGAGTCTGGGAAATGAAAAATTACAAAAAAGGGAAGGTGGTAGTTTCATGTGAAACCGATCTGGTTTTGCTAACTGGGGCTTATTAAAGTTAGGCTTCTACCCTCCCTCAGACACTGGGAGACAGGGGTCCTATCTTCTGGTGTTAGCTGCAACAAACAGTAAGAAAGAAACAGGAAGAAGAGACATTCTTCTTTCCTCTGAACAATGTAAGTCCATTTGTCATTCGATCGCCCTTTGTTTATTAAGGACTAGCTGAGCCATCTGTTGAGACTTGGTAGAAGAGGATATTTGCTGGATGACGTGAGCAATCAGGCATTTAATGAGGAGCATCTCTATGGAAACAAAAAGAAAACAAAGGCTAATGGTGGGAACAGAGTATAAACCCAGTTTGTGAGTCCAGAGGGCGGGCAGTCACTTGAGAAGACACTCAAGTCTTAAGCATCTTTACATGGTGGTGTGAGGACAGCAGTGGCAATCCGATAGATTTCTTATTTTATAGTTTGACTGTTGGTAGTGATGGCATAGACATCAGCGTCACAGCCATGGCTTTTCCCAGAGCAGAGCATGGAAGACACAGGAGTTCTGGTGGACCTTTGGGGTAGCCCAAGCGGCAGCAAGTCCAGGCACAAAGGTTGCCCACGCGTGATTTGTAGGGATGAGTTCTTTGATGCTTATATCAAGTTGTCTGGCCTTAGCTTACAGGGCGTTTTCAGATCCTGGAGGAAAGGGTGACCACAAGAGAACCTGAGTCCCAAAAAGGATTAGGTTTTAGTTCTTAGTAATGCCAAATCAGGAGGGAAGGAGAAAAATGGGAAACAGCGCTTTGGAGAGTTGTAGCCAGATATTCAAGGAGAATTAAGAATTTGCTAAGGGAGGGCACCTGGGTGACTCAGATGGTTAAGCGTCTGCCTTCAGCTCAGGTCATGATCCCAGGGTCCTGGGATCGAGTCCCGCATCGGGCTCCCTGCTGCTTGGGAGCCTGCTTCTCCCTCTGCCTCTCTCTCTCTCTCTCTCTGTCTCTCATGAATAAATAAATAAAATCTTTAAAAAAAAGAATTTGCTAAGGGCTAAAAACAAATGAAGGGAAAAAAAAGAATTTGCTAAGGGCTGACAAAATGAGTAAGATGGCAAGATCCAGTTTGGTTTACAGGAAAATAATAAAACCTCAAGATAGATTCCAGGTGTGATATACTTTTCCACTGTCATAAAATTTCTATCTACAGTCAACCCCCTTTTTAATCAAAGGTTATCAAGGTAGAATAGTTTTGTTTACAAAATAACTTTAGTTGCATTAAAGTTGGCCTAATTATCCACATGAATGCAACAAGAATAGTAATCAATAATACAAACCTTTTTAAGTTTTCT